TTGTCCCCAAGAGATCTGGTCATAATTGCTTGATTGCATTGGGATAGTTGCAACCAGTAGTAACCTGCATTATAACGGGAGTACTATTCCAACAAACTTTATTTTATTTGCTGTAAATTTTTCTATATCGCTATTTAGTTGGTATTCATATTCTATGACCATAGCAGGCTTTGTCATTAATTGATTCGCAAGTGTTTTATAAAGCTTCCAGTCTGTGAACTTATTACCCAGAAAATACGGATTTTCTTTTTTTAGTATAGAACTGTACATATTTAAAAACATTGGGGAATGATCCGAGCACAGATCAGCTTCATCCTTAATTTCCATAAAGCCTTTAAAAACTTTTCTTGAAATAAAAAGTTAATAAGATCAAGTATCTTACTTGGATCTGTGGACCAGATTGTTGAATAGCTTTTAAAAATTCCGAACCCTTGTAATGAACCTTTTCTGGTGGTTCGTTTAGAGCTGGGATAACTCAGTCTTGTCCAAGGTCCTCACAAGAAATTTGTTTTATCTTTTACCCTGTCACTGCCGTTGAATTCTGAAGGACTGAATTGGAGGTAAACTAAACCGTTCTAAACAGCTGAACCCCTCTCGATACTCGACACGATATAATACAATCACACGTGACTGTTAAAGCTACGTGTGTTGTATTACAGGCCGTAGACAACACGCCCTTCCCTGTACACTGTTAAAGCGTCCAGGGGTCGGAGACGTTAGGTTACTGTTAAAAGCCACCTACAGTTTCCGACACTATGGTATAGACACTCGTAACTGTTAAATCTACGTATGTTATACTCCGTGCGACCTAGGTTCAGTAACTGTTAAAGCCCTGAATCTTGCTCACCTTTTCAACCCTTAGTTCAATCCTTCTTATCCACTTAACCACTCGCCGCATATGAGTATTAACCTGTAACTGTGTGAATTAACGGTCAAACACCTTTGCACATGAAATATTGTGAACCAACAAAAATTATAATCAATGTATTTAATTTTGAATGATATTTCTTCTAAATAAGTAATTTTTCGACAGTGTCCAATGGTATTTGTTTTCTTTGGTATTTTTTTATTTCTTAAAAAAAATCTCTTTATTACAATATACTTTCATCTAATTTACAAACGATATTTTAAGTTCTGTATTATTGACATTTAAATTCTCTTGTAAAATTAATTTATTTTAATGTTTGCATTCAAGAAGTTTTCTTTTAACAATCTTATATTCAATGTATTTAATTTAACAGTTTGTAAAAAAAATATTTAAGTTTTCTTTTATATTTAAAACTAGAATTTTTTTTTCAAAATGTTTATTTAAGTGACAGTGAAAAATTATTTTAAAATTAATTTAAAATTATTTCATATTCAATAAAGTTCCAGCAACATAAATATTCAAAACGATAGTTCACGGTGTGTATAATATTCTTTCAATATATTAGTTTACACCACATCAAATTTTATTTCATATAATTTCAGAGTTTGTCCAGTTACGTTGTTGGTGGCAGAGGATTGCGGTGAGTTGGATTGTTAATGTTTTTATCACTACTTAACAAATTTTATTTTTTTTTAATACAGGAATCTTCGAGTTAATCAATTCAAGTGAGTAATGCCTGTTGAGTATTATGTGACTATACCCACGACGCACAGTGTGACAAAACACAAAATTAGGCGGTCATAATTCGATATTTTCGGAACCAGTAGAGATATTGATATGAAATTTTCCTAAAATATAGTTTTTGAGTTGATCTTTCTTTTAAATCTAATTTGAGCCCAATCGGCCTACCGGAACTACCCGAAATTTTTGCCCAAACATGGGGATTTTACCGTGGTCCCAAGATCACTTAAAAACTATGATAGGTAGAAAGCTGAATTTTGGTGTCCGGAAAACTTACGTTATTATCTAGATTTCAACATTTTTTTAAGGTTTTCCGCCCACTGCCACACCCACCCCCCATACAAAATTTTCATATTCAATCATTTATTATCGTTAAAAATACTTTTTGCACTTATTGGACTACATATATACGTGACTTACATAACAACACAACTCTATGCAAAAAATGGGCGTGATCCGCTCATTAGTTCCTAAGTTATTTGCAGTTTATACAACTTTAGCGAAATTATGATTTCGTAAAAATTTAACCAATTTTAAACCCTTATAGCTTTTTTACTATTTATTCAAAAATGATCATTTTTAATTTTTTTAAAGCTTACGATATTGTTATTCATTATGTGTAAAAAAAATTTCAATTTTAATTATCAATAAAATTTTATTAGCGAAATTGCACAAAAAGTCAGCATTTTTTTCATGGCCATTTTCACTTCTATCGGCGATACCCAAAAAATGTATCCGAGTTTTTTCATGAAATTTTTCCTATTAATAGCCAAATAGTTACACTTTACAATAAAACAAAAATTGGCCTGCGCACTTTATGTTTTACACCTATTTCAGGCCTCAGAATCCAGCGAAAAATTACGAAAAATATTAACTTCAATAAACCCCATTTATTTCAACAACAAATTCAATGAGTAATAACAAAAAGACATTTATAATTTTATAAATATTTAATTTATTTATATTTTAAATTTCAACTAAATCGGTTGAAGAATAACGAAGTTATAACACATTATGTTCAGACGCCTGACCGGAAGTATGATCACAGCATTTAACCTTGAATGTACAGTTATTTAATTTTACACAAGCAAGTAATGCGTATTTGAAATATAATGAACATATATTAACTGTCATTTTTTCTCAATGAATCACTGTTGAGATTGTTCCCAAAATTAATAAATCTCTTACGAACGTTTTTCGAATTGTGTGAAGTTTATGGTCAACATAATCAAACATAAGATTTAGATCCGAAGATCTTGGACTTCCACATAATACCACATGAAATATTTTTTTTAAATATTTGCATTTCAAGATGCATGAAATTATGGCATACAAAACTCGCAGACATGGTTTGAGAACAAAACCCAATTTATCATAGAAAAGTTCTCTTCGATGTTGAAGTGCATTGAAACCTACACAATAATCCCGAAACATAAATACATTCAAGAAATTTACAATTTGGTGATATTTATTTTTGGTTAAAAAATTCAATGACTATGTTTCTCAAGGAGCGGGGCGCAATAGATATGTGTGTAGGAAATAATGTGTTTATTATTATGTTTGTATTATTATTTATTAAATGTTTAATTAATATCGGTAAAACAGAATAGGATCTTTAAAATATGAAAAATATCTTTTGACACGCGAGGCTGCACTTCGACACCAACCACCAACAAGAGGTCAAATCCAGCACCTTTTTGGGTGACGTAATGATGTCTTTTATTTCTTGAGCAGAAGCTGGAGGTTTGCTTATTTTTTGTCTAGTTTTATATTAGCTGATATATGCTCTTCAGCATTTTCTATCGTAAAAGTACTTTTAAGATATTCCGAAAACACCACTGCCTTATGCTGATTGCTTTTTGCTCAATTATTTTCAAGCTTTAATGGTGAGAAGTGTGTCAGTGGTCGTCTGAGGTTTTTTGTTGTGAATTCTTTTCGCACGATAAATTGGCCAGAAATGTTTTAAATGAATTGTGTTTAAGATGTCTATCCTTTGATTCAACCTTTTACAGAGTTTATTGAGCAGAGACTTGTCCCCAAGAGATCTGGTCATAATTGCTTGATTGCATTGGGATAGTTGCAACCAGTAGTAACCTGCATTATAACGGGAGTACTATTCCAACAAACTTTATTTTATTTGCTGTAAATTTTTCTATATCGCTATTTAGTTGGTATTCATATTCTATGACCATAGCAGGCTTTGTCATTAATTGATTCGCAAGTGTTTTATAAAGCTTCCAGTCTGTGAACTTATTACCCAGAAAATACGGATTTTCTTTTTTTAGTATAGAACTGTACATATTTAAAAACATTGGGGAATGATCCGAGCACAGATCAGCTTCATCCTTAATTTCCATAAAGCCTTTAAAAACTTTTCTTGAAATAAAAAGTTAATAAGATCAAGTATCTTACTTGGATCTGTGGACCAGATTGTTGAATAGCTTTTAAAAATTCCGAACCCTTGTAATGAACCTTTTCTGGTGGTTCGTTTAGAGCTGGGATAACTCAGTCTTGTCCAAGGTCCTCACAAGAAATTTGTTTTATCTTTTACCCTGTCACTGCCGTTGAATTCTGAAGGACTGAATTGGAGGTAAACTAAACCGTTCTAAACAGCTGAACCCCTCTCGATACTCGACACGATATAATACAATCACACGTGACTGTTAAAGCTACGTGTGTTGTATTACAGGCCGTAGACAACACGCCCTTCCCTGTACACTGTTAAAGCGTCCAGGGGTCGGAGACGTTAGGTTACTGTTAAAAGCCACCTACAGTTTCCGACACTATGGTATAGACACTCGTAACTGTTAAATCTACGTGTGTTATACTCCGTGCGACCTAGGTTCAGTAACTGTTAAAGCCCTGAATCTTGCTCACCTTTTCAACCCTTAGTTCAATCCTTCTTATCCACTTAACCACTCGCCGCATATGAGTATTAACCTGTAACTGTGTGAATTAACGGTCAAACACCTTTGCACATGAAATATTGTGAACCAACAAAAATTATAATCAATGTATTTAATTTTGAATGATATTTCTTCTAAATAAGTAATTTTTCGACAGTGTCCAATGGTATTTGTTTTCTTTGGTATTTTTTTATTTCTTAAAAAAAATCTCTTTATTACAATATACTTTCATCTAATTTACAAACGATATTTTAAGTTCTGTATTATTGACATTTAAATTCTCTTGTAAAATTAATTTATTTTAATGTTTGCATTCAAGAAGTTTTCTTTTAACAATCTTATATTCAATGTATTTAATTTAACAGTTTGTAAAAAAAATATTTAAGTTTTCTTTTATATTTAAAACTAGAATTTTTTTTTCAAAATGTTTATTTAAGTGACAGTGAAAAATTATTTTAAAATTAATTTAAAATTATTTCATATTCAATAAAGTTCCAGCAACATAAATATTCAAAACGATAGTTCACGGTGTGTATAATATTCTTTCAATATATTAGTTTACACCACATCAAATTTTATTTCATATAATTTCAGAGTTTGTCCAGTTACGTTGTTGGTGGCAGAGGATTGCGGTGAGTTGGATTGTTAATGTTTTTATCACTACTTAACAAATTTTATTTTTTTTTAATACAGGAATCTTCGAGTTAATCAATTCAAGTGAGTAATGCCTGTTGAGTATTATGTGACTATACCCACGACGCACAGTGTGACAAAACACAAAATTAGGCGGTCATAATTCGATATTTTCGGAACCAGTAGAGATATTGATATGAAATTTTCCTAAAATATAGTTTTTGAGTTGATCTTTCTTTTAAATCTAATTTGAGCCCAATCGGCCTACCGGAACTACTCGAAATTTTTGCCCAAACATGGGGATTTTACCGTGGTCCCAAGATTACTTAAAAACTATGATAGGTAGAAAGCTGAATTTTGGTGTCCAGAAAACTTACGTTATTATCTAGATTCTAACATCTTTTTAAGGTTTTCCGCCCACTGCCACACCCACCCCCCATACAAAATTTTCATATTAAATCATTTATTATCGTTAAAAATACTTTTTGCACTTATTGAACTACATATATATGTGACTTATATAGCAACACAACTTTATGCAAAAAATGGGCGTGATCCGCCTATTAGTTCCTAAGTTATTTGCAGTTTATGCAACTTTAGCGAAATTATGATTTCGTAAAAATTTAACCAACTTTAAACCCTTATAGCTTTTTTACTATTTACTCAAAAATGATCATTTTTAATTTTTTTTAAAGCTTACGATATTGTTATTCATTATGTGTAAAAAAAAATTTCAATTTTAATTATCAATAAAATTTTATTAGCGAAATTGCACAAAAAGTCAGCATTTTTTTCATGGCCATTTTCACTTCTATCGGCGATACCCAAAAAATGTATCCGAGTTTTTTCATGAAATTTTTCCTATTAATAGCCAAATAGTTACACTTTACAATAAAACAAAAATTGGCCTGCGCACTCTATGTTTTACACCTATTTCAGGCCTCAGAATCCAGCGAAAAATTACGAAAAATATTACCTTCAATAAACCCCATTTATTTCAACAACAAATTCAATGAGTAATAACAAAAAGACATTTATAATTTTATAAATATTTAATTTATTTATATTTCAAATTTCAACTAAATCGGTTGAAGAATAACGAAGTTATAACACATTATGTTCAGACGCCTGACCGGAAGTATGATCACAGCGTTTAACCTTGAATGTACAGCTATTCAATTTTACACAAGCAAGTAATGCGTATTTGAAATATGAACACTTCCAGTCAGGCGTCTGAACATAATGTGTTATAACTTCGTTATTCTTCAACCGATTTAGTTGAAATTTGAAATATAAATAAATTAAATATTTATAAAATTATAAATGTCTTTTTGTTATTACTGATTGAATTTGTTGTTGAAATAAATGGGGTTTATTGAAGGTCATATTTTTCGTAATTTTTTGCTGGTTTCTGAGGCCTGAAATAGGTGTAAAACATAGAGTGCGCAGGCCAATTTTTTATTTGTTGTAAAGTTTAACTATTTGGCTATTAATAGGAAAAATTTCATGAAAAAACTCGGATACATTTTTTGGGTATCGCCGATAGAAGTGAAAATGGCCATGAAAAAAATGCTGACTTTTTGTGCAATTTCGCTAATAAAATTTTATTGATAATTAAAATTGAAATTTTTTTACACATAATGAATAACAATATCGCAAGCTTTAAAAAAAATTAAAAATGATCATTTTTGAGTAAATAGTAAAAAAGCTATAAGGGTTTAAAATTGGTTAAATTTTTACGAAATCATAATTTCGCTAAAGTTGCATAAACTGCAAATAACTTAGGAACTAATAGGCGGATCACGCCCATTTTTTGCATAAAGTTGTGTTGCTATATAAGTCACATATATATGTAGTTCAATAAGTGCAAAAAGTATTTTTAACGATAATAAATGATTTAATATGAAAATTTTGTATGGGGGGTGGGTGTGGCAGTGGGCGGAAAACCTTAAAAAGATGTTAGAATCTAGATAATAACGTAAGTTTTCTGGACACCAAAATTCAGCTTTCTACCTATCATAGTTTTTAAGTAATCTTGGGACCACGGTAAAATCCCCATGTTTGGGCAAAAATTTCGGATAGTTCCGGTAGGCCGATTGGGCTCAAATTAGATTTAAAAGAAAGATCAACTCAAAAACTATGTTTTAGGAAAATTTCATATCAATATCTCCACTGGTTCCGAAAATATCGAATTATGACCGCCTAATTTTGTGTTTTGTCACACTGTGCGACGTTGGAGCAATCAAATTTTTAATAAATAAAATTTTGGTTGTTACACCCTTAGTCACAATAAGTCTCGAATCCCAAAAAGCATTTTTAGTATTATAGTCACCACCAAAATTTATCCCCAAGAGCCTTTAAAACTTCAATCTATTTTCTTTGCCTATATTATGCCGCTGAGTGCTATATAAAGCCGCTATCGTTAAAGGTTGATGATCAGTTCCTCTCTAAACTTTAACTATTTGGAATTCAGAAGCTGTTAACTAAATTCCTTTATTTAGTTTAGGTAGCGTAGATTTGCGCTAACTCCTCGTGCTAACTCCTTGCTGGATGATTTTCTCCGCAATTACAGCATTTTGGTTGCAATGTTGGTGGTTTATCACAGTCAGATGTAGCATGCTTTCCAGCACACTTTACACATCTAGGTTGTTTACCGCCTAGTTTTATGTGTGTTCAAAACCCTGGCAATTTCTACATTGCTGCAAAATATTGTTAAACTGGTTCTTCAGCCACTATAGTATTCAAGATTTTTGATATTTTATAGATTTTGTTTACGTGTTCAGATGTGACGAACGAAACTTAAAACATGTTTAACGGTTCTTTAGTTTTCCATTTAATTTACTGCCGAAATTGCACTTAAGCCCTGCTTTTACCAGTCTGCGACTACTGACTCTGAGTCTCATGTATGATGCAAATTTTTAAAAATGACTTTAGTCGGTCTTAGTGGCTTATTTTCATATAAACACCATGATTTTTGCTCTTACAATTCCAACAATCTTTGCGTATATGTCTCTATAATTGGCAGCATGCGATACCATTATAGGAGGTGGTACGTCTGCCTAACAGTAGCAACAGTAGTATTGTTTGTTACACATTAAGGTGAAGACTCAGATTTTCTCTATGTCGACTACAAATGAATTACTCTTCTTCATCGTTATTATCAACTTCCATTGATACAGGGTTTAACTGCAACTTCGTTATCGTTTGTTATGTTTGTAGGAAGTATTATATTCAATTCACCTAATATATCTGATTCCTCTGGTGCAGATATACCATTTGCTAATACACTTACGTCGACTTTCTTAAAATCTGCTGACCGCTCCACTACGCAATTCCTTGAACACTTTTATCATTAACGTTATCACTGTTGTCAATATTGCCGGTAATACTTTTTTCCACAACACTGAATTTAGCCCCAAGTTCTTCTTTTGGTTCAAGTTTTTCATCCTCTATACTATCTTCGTGATTTCTCTTTGTTGCTTTCATCGCTTTGCTGATGAACTGGTGTGGCTCTAGAATTCTCATTTTCTTCGAAGTTATTATTAGAAATTCACATTCATCATTGCTTGTTGGTACAGTTACTTTCTTTTGACTATCAGTTTTTTTGTACTGCGGCGTATCTTAACTTATCGAAATATTCATAATCTCTTTTTCTTCCTGCTTGATTTTCGAAATTATAGACAGGGAGTTGTAACCATTCTCGTACGACATATATTTGTATTGCGTAGTCAAAGTTTCGTAGTGAGCGGACGTGTTTTTTAACCGGTCTCGAAGAAATTTAAATTACCGTATAAAAACAAGTAAATAAGAAGTACTCCTTTAAATATCACTTTTTTTATTAATACAAATTCACAAAAATAGATCATTTTTGGGCAAAAAACAATTAGTGAAAGTTTAAAGTGCATAAAATATTAATTTGAAAATAGCGCGCGCTTTTTTCGATTTTTGTTGACTTTCTTTTTTTTTTGCACAACTTTATTAAAAAATTCAAATAGCTGACAGAGACAGCAGATTAATTTCTAAAGCTTATAATCAAAAGTGAATAAGTATTCAAACAAAAGAACAGTGCGGTTTTGTGTATATGGGTCATTCTTTTACAAACCGGACACCTTTTTGACCTCATCACCTCCGATTTGGCTGAAATTTTTTTTATGAGCTCCTTTCATAAAATAAGAAGACCCGTATCTCGGGAAAAAATTTTGTAATTTTTTTCCTAGGAGATATGGACCCATGGGGTTTTGAGAATTGGCATTGTAGACACATTTTCAAATGGCTATATCTCAAGTTCTATAAAAGGTAGAAACTTGAAATTTATTGCGTTTTAAAGATAATTGGTTGAGCTTTTAAGAAATTGTTTAAACAATTAAGATTGTTTATATTTAAGTACTAATATTAACCGTTAAATTTCAAAAAAAAAGATATCTCAAAAGGGTACACAACATTTTTCATTTTTTATATTTTATTTAGATTCAGTTTTAAATTTTACTAAGAAATAAAAATTTTCATGATAGTATCGATTTTTATAAATTTTTTAAATTTTTTTTTTCTCATAAAACACATCAAACACATGCGTGCTATATTTACATTGAATGAATTTTCAAAAAATATACTACAAATATTCTTATATAATATTTTTGATTTCAATTAGTAATAAAATTGTACATAAAACTCAAAAATTTCAGGACGATATTGTCGTTGGAACTACTTTTAAAAAATTTATTTATCCTTCACATCACTCCAAACACATACACACGATTTTTCAGTAAAAAAAAAACAGAGGAATACGTCACACAAATTTTTCATTTTTACTTTTAATTCCGATTAAACAATAAATTCTTCTTCGAAAATAAATATTTCCAGTGTGATATTGCTTCCAGAAGTAATTTAAAAAAAATTAATTTATCAGGTGTCCTTCATGTTACTCATACGCACCATAATACCCTTGAATCAATTTTCCAAGAAAAGTGACACAATATTCACATTTTAAATTAGTTCCGCATCATCTCTATTTTTAAATTATAAATTTTAACATAATTAATTTTATATTTTTCTTATATTGATCAGTTTAAAAATTAATTAGTTCCACACTAGCTGAACTACCTGAATAACTGAAGCACATAAGTACACCCACCTTCTATGGTGAGTGTTATT